ATAGAATTATTAATTAATTTATAGATGAATATCAAATCTGCTATTTCTCTTCTTTTTCTCAGACTCACAAAACTGAATTCTTCTAACAATAAATTATAATCATAGTGACGAATAGGATAACGGCCATGTGTTTTAAAGTAAATAAATTTTAAAAATTTTCTTTGGACAGATTCTAATGCACTTATGTACTTTAAATGGTTAGTATTCCAAACACAACTGCAATACTCCAGTTTGCTACGAACTAGTGAAAAATAAACAGAGAAGATGGCTTCTAAAGATTTAAACTTTTTACAGTTTCTAATAACAAAACCCAAGATTTTTGTTGCACTTTGCACAGAATTTTCAATGTGTTCCGAAAAAGTCAGTTTGCTGTCAAATAAGATACCTAAATCTTTGTAATTATATATCCGGGGAATAACAAGATTATCTAATTGATAGTCGTATAAGACAGTGTTTACTTTCATGGAAAAGGACAGGACTTTGCATTTGTTAGTATTCAAAGATAGTTTATTTATGATACACCAGTTATGTAAGTTTACAAGGTCGTTTTGAAGAGCAATGCAATCTGAGGTATCCTTTATTTCCCTATAAATTTTCATATCGTCTGCAAACAAGAGTTTCTTAGAGTTGATACAATGACAGATGTCATTAATAAAAATAACAAATAATAAAGGGCCCAAATTCGAGCCCTGAGGAACCCCTGACGTTGACACGAAATTAAAAGATTTGGCACTCTCATATTCAACATATAACTGTCGATTAGTTAAAAAAGACTTTAACAGTGATTATACTCTTTGAAACATCAAATTGTCTCAGTTTCAGAAGCAATTGTTTGTGAGACACCTTATCAAACGCTTTATTACGCAAATAATATTATTGAATGTATTTAAAATTAATAAAAATATAGAATCCATTGATTAAAATAACAACAGAAGAAAAAAAAAGAAATTTACAAAATTCGAAAGTAGCATAATGGTGAACAAACCTCAAACGACTTCTCATGAAGTTCTATGGCAAGCAATTGCTTTTTTAACAGATTTAAATCACTAATAAATAAAATAATGTGATTCCCTCTCTGTGGCATTTCATCTTCTTAAAACGACCTACGAAATACATCATAATCATGTCTTTTTAGCTTTTCTTGTCCATTTTTTCTTTATATTCAAATATGGGCGAAATAAAACTATATGAATATTTAACTTCGAATGAGCATCACGCTATATTTTATATAATCCTTTCATTTAAGTTTGACTTTGATCGTTTGTTGTTTCAGTTTGGTAAATAATATCCTGTTTAAATTATTAAAATTTGTAGAAATCGAACAATTTAAAATTCAGCCTTGTATAAATTAAAAAAGGAAATAATTTTTTTTTTCACGAATTCGTCACTGCCTATGTTCCATTTTCTCTATTAAAATAATTATACTGATACACCTATACACTTATTACAATATTTATTATAGTTATTAACAAAGTAAAATTTAAATATAATTAATTCTATGAATTAAGGGGTATGGTTACTCGTGTATATCACTACGATGTCAGTCAATAATAGATTGGAGATGTAATATAAAAATATTAGAATTTATAAGTTTCTGTTTTAATTTCCTTTTCCTTTCTATGTTTACGTCTAAGTCCTTATACTATAATAATGTAAAAAGTTATTCCAAAGAGGACCAATTCTTATTTAAACAGTGTTTTCAATGGGTTTCACGTGCTTTATTTGTTCTAGATTTTTTATGTACTCTATTGCATTTCTTATTATGTCGCTGGATATATTAATATTGATTTCCTATTGCAGTTTATATTTCTGGTTCCAAAGCATTTATTATTCAAAATCATTTGCTATCCCTGTCTAAAAAAACCTCGCAGACACTTCTTTTGATGATATTCTTACAGTTCCTCCATTTGTGTTAATTTAAAGAAAGTGAACCAAATTTAATACATTTTTATGGTGTTAACGTTAAATTTTAACAGATCTTTTTACATGGGATGTTAGACAATGACCCCAACAGTCAAAGAAACTTAAAATTACTAAAAAAAACCATCAAATTAAACCACCTAATCCAATAAAAAGTTAAATATAATTTAAAAACTAATAATTAATATAAACCCGTTACAATTTAAGAAAAACACAATGTAATTAAAAGGCTCAGATGAGTGGAAAAATAAAATAGGATGTATAGATGCTTGTTGTAAATATTATTCTGAAAAACATTTAAAAATCAATGTAGATGTTTATTTTATATAAACTTATTATTTCTAATTTTTGATTGAATGACTAAACCATATACAGGGTGTTATTGAAATACTCGTACATATTAAAACTGGGTATTGCGCAGATCCCCACTGAATGTAGAAAAATATTATTTTTTAAAAATACCCCTTATTAAGGGAGTTATTAATTTTTGAAAATTAATTCTAAAACAAACGTACTTCACTGATATGTTGAGGATGACCTATCTAAATTATTTACCTATTTTAAACATCAACAGTAATTAATATGCAAGTTTTTGTCAGATGATAAGAAAACTAGTCTTGTAAGAAATAACCATGTTGCCAAGATTTTCGAATTAATTTCTATTTCCGAAGACTGGTTTTTACTACCCTCGTTATCAAAAAACTAGAATATTTGATAAATGATTGTTTTTAAACTATACATTTTTGAAACTATAGATTATTAAAAGACGAGCGCGTCATTTCCAAGTTGGTAAAAAGTGTTGTTACGATTACTTTTAAATATTTTTTTACGATGCCACTATTTACGAATATTGAACTAACGGATATAGTGCTGGTTTATGGGGCAGCTGGAGAAAATTCTCGGCAAGCACAAATCCTGTATCGCGAACGGTTTCCAAATCGGAGAATTCCGGACTGTCGTACGTTTATTTCAACTGTTCAGCATCTAATAGACCATGGAAAATTTGAGAGTGTCAATGCAGATCGAGGGAGAACAAGAACACAAAGAACATTGGCGGCCGAAGAAGAAATATTGGAAGCTGTTGAAAACCGGCCTCAATTAAGTTGTAGAAGACTAGGTCTTGAAATTGGAGTGTCCTCATTTGTTGTGTGGCGGACACTTAAAGAACAAGGTTTACATCCTTATCACATCCAAAAAGTCCAGGCCTTATATCCAGGTGATGAAGAAAAGAGAGTGGAGTTTTGTGAATGGATGATTCAAAAATGTGTTGATATTCCTGATTTTCTAAAAATATTATTGTATACTGACGAGGCTTCATTCACTCGTGATGGCGTGTTCAATATGCAGAATACGCATATTTGGAGTGATGAAAACCCTCACGCCATTAGGGAAACTGGGCATCAAAGAAAATTTTCAATAAATGTTTGGGCTGGCATAATAGATCAGTATTTAATCGGGCCTTATGTTCTCCCGAACAGATTAAATGGGCCAGGATATCTCCACTTTTTAGAAGATATTTTGCCAGTACTCCTAGAAGAGATACCGTTACAATTAAGGCAACGGATGTGGTACCTACTAGATGGCGCTCCACCTTACTTTGATTTAAACGTACGGCAGTTTTTGAACATTAGATTTCCTCAAAAGTGGATAGGCAGAAATGGACCTACTAAGTGGCCTCCGAGATCTCCGGACTTAAATCCATGCGATTTCTTTTTGTGGGGTCACATGAAATAACTGGTTTATAATGAACCTATTAATAGTGTTGAACAATTAACCAATAAAGTTAATACGGTAGCCGAGGAACTACGACAAAATCCAAGACTAATTTCTAATGTTCAAAGTTCTTTGGAAAGACGATTGCAAGTGTGTGTAAATATTAATGGACGGCATTTTGAACAATTACTGTAATAAAATTTATTTTGAATTAATTGGTTTTGCTACGGCAACAGTGCAATTTCTATGGGTAAGTTCAATTTCGATTTATTTTACTTCTTTAAATATGGAAACTAGTAGGTCGGAAAAGGGGACTCTTCCCCAATATTTAAATTTTAGAATTTGAAGTTAAAATTGGTGCCAATCGTTTTTGGTCATTACATACTATTCCCCATTTTAATATGTACGTGTATTTCAATAACACCCTGTATATAATAATTAATGATAAAGATAATAGCACCTTATACATCTTTAATATAATTTATGAAAATTAAGAACGTTACTGACTATTCTAAATACACTCTTGTATATTTTTCTAATTTTTGATAAGCTCCTACTGATTTTGTTTGTTTTGTTTACTTGACTTTGAATACATATGCCTTTCAAAATTATACAAAATCAGTTTTTCAAATCATTGTAACCAAATTTGCGTAATAAGTTTATTTTTAAATAACCGATAAAGTTTATTTTTGATAAAATAAACATATCTTTCGGAATTATTGTTGATTTTGGGATTCGTATTATTATTTATGACGAATTTCATAATTATAACTTAGATTTTCTAATATTATTTGCTATTGATTTTGGAGACTGCACGATTGAATCCGTAGTATACGAAAAACAGCATGTGGTAATCAAAGGGACAAAAATAACTACGTCTACAAGTTTTTTGATGCTTTAAAAATCAAATAAACAATATTTAACTGACCTTCCATTAGTAGTTAGCACTAAAATTAAAGCTTTTTTAATTAATTTATTGTAAGTTAATTTTACTTACGTTTTATTGATATCTGTAAGATTACCCCATTGCAATTTTTTCCCACTATGCTCCTTCTGCATACCCTATTGTCAAAAAAAACCTAATACTTTTCATCTGTACATATAGGAGCAGCCAGCCTCTTAACTCATTGAAGCTCTTAAGGCTAATAACATCGTCGAGAGGTGTCTGTCATTTAGTAGGTTTTTACCATATCGTTGGCAATTGCTCGACAATTGATCAACATTTTTAAGACCACAGTATAGCAGGTAACATAAAATTTGTTCCAAAAACAATTAGAAACCGTCATTAACGTTAACGTTAAAATACTTATAATTTTAACTGCAGCTAATTCTAAAAAATCAGTATCATTAATTGAAATTTGTTATAGGACCACAAACATGGGTGTCCCACTTTCCAGATGCCGCTGGCCAACGTCAAAGTCCAATCGACATCAAACCGGTAGATGTCAAAGTGTTAAATTCTAACGCAAAATTACACTGGAAATATGAACCTGAAACTTTGACTGAAATATCGAATACTGGTGCAGCTTGGAGAGTTGATGTTAAAGGGAAAGGATCAGGTAATAATCAAGAAGTCAAAATTGTATTGCAGGTAAATTTTGGTATTAGTTCAATGATTTCATGTATTGGTAAAATATCTTAAGATCTTAAGATTCAGAATATATTTCCAATTGAAATTATGCAAGAATAATGAATATAAAACATTAAAAATTTATAATAAACTAATTGATATAGCCATGTGTGGCTAAAGTGGATTTGACAGAAAAGGATAATAAAAGAAAACGTCCTTTAAATCTCACAATGTTATCTATATTGCGATCGGTTTAAGAGTTTTATATCAACTTCATCTTCAGGCAATCTAAATTAGAAAAAGTAATAGTCAATTAACAACAAAAGAAATTTGAATTGTTTATTGTTGTGTTATCCAATAAAAATGGAATTACCAGATCTTTTTTTATTCATTCTCTTTGCAACCAATCCTTTTGTTAAATCCCTAGATATTAAAAGTAATTTTTAATCCTTAAGGAGTAAAAAAGCTATTAAGTGTATTATATTTTTAATTCCTGGAAACTAAAAGTGCCATTTAAGTCTCTGTAAAGTATACTTTTAGTGCCTAAAGTGCATAATAGTGATTTTACCAAATTAAAATAAAGAGACTAAAATCAATTTTTTTATTGATTAAATTTCATGGATTACATTTCAAGGAATAATTTCCAAGGAACAATTTTCAAGGATTAATTTCCGAGGACTATTTACTAAGGACTAATTTCCAAAGAATAAATTTCCAAGTATTAATCTTCAGCGGATGTATTTCCAAGGATTATTTTTAAAGGATTTATTTCGAAGGATTAATTTCCAAGAAATAATTTGCAAGGATTACTTTCCAAGGACTAATTCCCATTGATTAAAATCTAAGCAATAATTCTCAAGTATTTATTTACAGATTTTAATTTCCAAAAATTAATTTTAAAGGATTAATTTTCAGGAAATAATTTTCAAGGATTAATTTTTAAGTATCTATTTCCAAGGATTAATTTTCAACAATTAGTTTTTACGTACTAATAACCAATGATTAATTTTGTGATCAGTCCTAATTTTAAAAGTCTCATATTGTATACAAGTACATAACTTGTATATTAAAAATTGCAAATAATTCAAATAGTTTATAAAATTGCAATGCGTAATATAAAAAATCTTTTAATAAATTAGCTCAGATTATGCAAAACATCCGTAAATGTTACATCAATAAATCTTTTATCGCGCTTTCAAGAAAAATATGAAATGAAAATATATGTAAAACCTTTCCTAAAGTTGAATCAAAAGTAAAAACGATCTTTTACTTCAGGGTCATACAACAGACGGATATAATAAAATCAAATTGTAACTATTTAAATTTAGATGGGTCATAAATTGCGAAAAACATTTTGAAAATGGTAATTGAACATTGTATTATTAGAACAATCTAATAATAGCATAGTGGGTTATGAAAAAGAGTTGTGTTGTATTGGAAGTTTGGTATTTGATTTTCTGAAAGCGTCATGTAATGTGGAATGCAAAATGAACAAAGGTTCCTTCTTTTCGGTGAAAAAAATAGATAAGATACAAATTATTATAAACACAGATAATAAAACTAGTATAAATAAAAAGTTCTTTGATTTTTCGATCAAACGGTTTTAATTTCTTTATATTTTAAGCAGTACATATATGGGTTGGACGTAAATAATACACAAAATGAAATATATAAATAAAAAAAAAATAAGACAGAAGATAGGTTGATTAATTTAATTTACAAATTTTAGATATCAAAGTAATTTATCAACTTACAAAATGTTCATATATATATTCATTCTACAGACAATTTTTTATTACTTCTGTTGCTACACATAGATGCGTTATGGAAAATAAAACAAAAATTAAAAGTTTAATTATTGCAGTCCAACATAGTCCAATATAGTATTTAAGTATGTCTGATGAACAAAATTGATAGCATTAAAATAATATTGTGAGATGCAAAGTACTTTTTTCCTATATCTAATTTAAATCAGTCTCATTTCTAGAAGATTAATTTTTTTTAATATATTTTCAGAATTACGTGGTGGCCCACTTCTGGATGAATATGTACTTAACCAGTTTCACTGTCATTGGGGAGAATCTAATGATAGAGGCTCTGAACATACAATAAATGGTCAATATTTTGCAGGTGAGGTAAGTAGGTAATATTTGGGTATAAGATTTTATGTATATTCAATTTTAAAAACTGCTAAACTCTTTGAAAATGTTTTTATATAAATGTCATTAGAACTGCTAAGTTTAGCGACAGTATTGAGTTTTAAAAATTGATGTATACGAAGAAGCGTGTTAAAAATACTTTTATTTCGTGCTGTCTAAGAAAAGTCACTTTACATCAGTGGTCGCCAACCTCTCAATGTGTTGAGCTACTTTGTTAATTTTGGAATAAACAGCGAGCTACCCACACGGAAGCCACGTAACGCAACGTAAATGAAATAATCCACAGTTAATTTATCATTAAATGTATTTATTTTACTATTTAACTGGTAATACATAATACATAGATACTAATAATAAACTAATAACAAAATAACTAATATTACTAGTACGTACTTGTTCATAGCTACATTCCTACCTACCAAACGAAGGTGTTTGAAAAATAAACACAAACTTTTATGCAGCCACAACGGCATGTCACGTAAGATTTAAAAATAGTTAATAATAACAACAAAAAAGTAACGTACTATCATGAACATAAACATTGAAAAATAAAAAAGCACGTTTAATATGAAGGCTGATACTCAGATTCATCGATAATTTTTTTAATGTTTGCAGTATAATTTGATACAGCCATTCGAATGCAATTATCCAAATGTTCATCTGTAAGTCGATTGCGATATTGTTCTTAATAAACTTCATATTGGAAAAAGAAGATTCACACAAATAGGTTGAACTGAATAATGCTTTCACTTTCAAGGCAACATGGCATAGAACTGAATATTTGTCTTTACTTACAATAGGCCAGATACATTTGGTACTTGAGACTAACGATTTTAAGGCTAAATCATTTTGAAACTCAATTACTTCCATTTCTGTTGCAGCGATGTCTTCGCCAAAGTTCTGCATAACACAAGTTGCAAACTGTTGGATATCAATTTCCATAAAGAGTGAAACAACAAACTGCGCTATTAAAGCCATTTCGTTGAAATTTTAAAAACGATTTTTGAAGTTGTTCTTCAGGGTAGAAACTATTTCTACATTATATTTGCTGTCATAGGGTTCTAATGGATTTTGAGATATTTTTTCTGAAAGAATAGGAAAATGCTTTTATATCAGAAATCATTTTCGCTAGTTCTTTGTCTCTCCCCTGAAGCTGCAAATTAAGTTCGTTTAATTTCTCTGTAATGTTCACGAGAAAACCAAAATATCTAAGCCAGATTGAATGTTCTAGTTCCGGAGTCGGTTCATCGCGTTGTTTGAAAAATTGAACTATGTCCGATAGGACATCATTAAAACGTTTCAGCACCCGTCTCTACTTAACCATCGGACTTCAGAGTGAAGGAGTAGGTCCCTGTATTGACAGTCAACTTCATCGGCCAAGGTTTTGAATAATCTTCTTTGTAACGCTTGAGCTCTAATCTTGTTCACAATTTTTACCACCAGTTTCATAACGTTGTTTAGTTTCAGGAAATTTCCACATAATGCTTGCTGATGGATAATGCAGTGGTAACAGAGAAATTGCGGAAAAGTTTCATCTTTACGACATAACGCCACCAGACCCTTATCACAACCCACCATAGCTGGAGCGCTATCGGTTGTCAAGCCTACCATTTTCGATATTGGAATTTTCTCGGAAGAAATAATATTTTTTTAAATCAGAAAACAACTCCTGTCCAGTAGTGTCTCCTTTCAGTGGAATAAACTTCAAAAGATCTTCTTTAATCGTAAAATCACTAAAAACCATCCTGACGAACACGGCCATCTGGGCAGTGTCAACGATATCTGTTGATTCATCCAGTTGAAGTGAAAAATAAACAGAGTTATCTAAGTCAGTTCTTAACTGTAAAAAAATATCATTGTTCATTACTTATACACGTCTCATCACTGTATTAGCAGAAAGTTGCATATATTTTATAGCTGAAACCACGGGGGTCAGATTCCATGTAAATAGTTGGTAACAAGTTTGTTTGACCTCGACAGTAGCGCGCTAAGCGCTTACGGTTGAACTACACCTGTCAGTTTCAGTCGATAAAGTAGAACACTACTAATTAAAGCGATTTAAAAATTGGCGGGCTTGATATTTTAGATATTTGAAGCAATTTGAAGTAACATTTTCCTATTTGACAAATTTTACTTACAACTACTAAACAAACAAACAAGTTTAGTGAATTTTTGTTGTAGGTAAATGTTGATAAATGGAAAATGTCACTTGTTTTAACTGAAAAATAAAATTAGTTGAAAAATAAAACACATTTTTAACAAGTTTTATTTATTTAGAATTACCATGTAATTACATGTGTCTCATTATCTTCTAACTGCATATTTTGAACATAACAAGCACTATATCACACACTAAATTACTGAAAAATAAAAATATAATAGGATAACCAGCATAGCACATCACAATGTTTTTATTATTAAAAAAACCAGGTATAGTTTTTATGAAAAGTCAAACTAGTTATAAACACAATTGTTTTAATGTTTTAAATATCCCTTATTAATCCAAGGACAAATCATTCTAATTCTTATACGTATTGTCCCTTTAAGACATTTCCCATCTATTTCAATCAAGAATAGTTGTAATGCCTATTTCGGTTACAATAAGCCTCCAGCTTCAATATAGGTGGGCTTTGAAATTCACCCTAATTAAGAAACACATTTATGCACATTCCAAAAATCTCCATACCCAGGAATATCTAAAACAAAACAAAAATAAAGGTGCAGTGTGTATCTTAAAATTAAAAATTAACAGTCATAACTTTTTTAAATTCTTACATTTTTCTTACAATAAAAGGTATAAAAATTTCAATAAAAATAGAAAACATCTGATTTATGATCTTAATAGGTGAACTATGCAAAAATTAACAAGTTGACCTAAATAGCATATAAGTTTTTGAACATATTTGGGTATTACTTGATAAATATAATAATGAATATCACCCAAAAATTGAACAATAACTTTTTGAGCACAAATCATTCGCCTTTTTTCATCATGGTCTTTATGAGTAAAACTAGGATGAGGTTCTATCTCCGGTTCTACAATATTTGTTTGTAAATTGGCTTCACACATTTCGCTCACAACTCCTTTCATTTTTTAACCGCAAATGTTTAAAATGTGGATCCATGTATCTCTAGAGTAATAATAGCAGGAAAAACATAAAATTTCTTGTTAGTTTTGTGAGAAAAATACTTACTTCTGCAATTAAAATTTAAATGAATCAGAAGTTACTGATTTTCTTAAGAACCTCTCTATAGTAAAATTAGTTAAATCTAACTTACACTTAATACAATTAATATATTTGAAAATAAAAATAATATCAAGCTGACATATTTATAGCAACATAACCTAATTTATTTTCAAAGCCAGATTTACACCATCTAATAATATTTAAATTTAGCTTTAACTTTAAATTTATTAACGATTATCCCTGTATTTGATCACACATTATATTAAAGTGAAATTTCAAGGGGTAAACCAGTAAAATGATTGATTTTTTTGTCATTATTTTTGAAAACATATTTTTTTGTGGGTGTAAAACGGGTTTGAATTTAGTGATAGCAGCGCGCTAAGCGCTTACGGTTCAACTACCAACAAGGAAACAAGTCCCGCCATTTATTCAAACCTTCTCTTTTTATTTTTCTATGGCTGAAACTATCTCGTCTTTATTTCTAAAGTTGGCAAATAACGAATCAGCAACTTCTAAAAACGCCTGTTTTATCATTTCCCCGTCTTTATAAGGTTTCCTTTTTTGCAATTATCTGGGACACACGGTACGATGCTTCAGTTGAAGCCTTACTTTTGTCGACTGTTCTTAAAAATATTGATTGTTGTCCAATTAACTGCTTTTTTAACTGTTTCAGTTTCTCCTTTCTGGCGACAGAATGTAGTGGGAATGATTTTTCATAATTAGAATGTACAGTTTTATGATGTCTCTCAATATTTCCTTTTTTAGCAACGGAGACCGAAGTATTACATAACAAACACACATTTTTATCTTTAACTTCTGTAAAAAAGTATTGTTCTTCCCATTCCGAATGAAAGTGGTATGTCTTTACCTTCTTACAACTGCTTGCCATAATATTATTTTTTGTTGTTCTCTACTAACCCAACCGCTGGACGTTGGTTACGCGTTTAGTTTTAAACTAAGTGCAATGTCGCCGCGCCGTGCGTATTTATCCCGTTCAAAGCAATCCTGATCGTTCTCGAACACTAACGCGCTGTTCCGGCTGGTCGGTTCTAGCCGATTCTAGCTTGATGGCGTCAGTGGAAGATCGGTCACCTCAACGTTGCCGCTGTTTATGTTTAATATTATTAGATTTTTTGTAGAATTTTCGGAAGCTTCTCTGATTTTTGCAGTTTGTATTTTTTAAATTAAAATCGTTGTGAGAGCTACCAGAATTGACTCCGCGAGCTACCGGTAGCTCGCGATCGACAGGTTGGTGACCACTGCTTTACATCAATACCTTGACCATTACTTTACTTTTCAGTACTCTATATTAAACAGGTTTCAAATTAAAATAATCATATATACAGAAAGAAAGAGACAAAAGTTCAGTTACTTTGTATTGCAAGCCTGATGATGGCTATTTAACCGAAACAAGTTGCAACATAAAAATGTTTTTCAATAAATTCTATTTTACATGTAGTATGGATTCAGATTTTTCTTTAAGTGATTGACTTATTTATAGCCACAATTTAAACAAAATTCCATTATTTAATGAATGATAATATAATTTATAAAATAAAAGACGTTCACGAAAAGATGAAATAGCATATAAAAAATTTGATACCATAGTTTTAATCAAAATGTTCCTTTATTATTTTTAAATTATTATTAATTGTGATGCCTTGGTAGGATTCCCCACTCGACCATTCACTGTTGGGTTCTAATTAACAGTGCTGTTCCTACAGTGGCGCTGGGAAACAGTAATAAAGCTTACACAAAACACTAGGCTAATGGCCTTAGTAGTCGATGCCGATGACACCAAATTAAAAAAAAATTATTATTATAAAATTGCTGAAACAAAATTGAATTATAGTCATTTATAGATTACCCTGTATAGTATGTAAATGGTAAGATACATTAGAAATTAGTTTATGACTTTTTCCTTTCGATTCGCAAATTACGGTTTTTAATACAGAAACACCCTATATACTTTTATAAATATATTTTTACTTTAATGACAGAAAAACCAGCATTTTATATTTATTTAATATAGTTTACTTTTCCTTATAGTTACACCTTGTACATTGGAATTCTGCCAAATATTCCTCAATTCAAGAGGCTGCAAATAATCCAGATGGGCTATGCGTTTTAGGAGTGTTTTTAAAAGTAAGTTATATTTTATAAATATTATTACATAATCACTTGATTTCCAGGATATCCATTGAATTATCTAATTTTTCTTATTCTATCAAAATTAATGAAATACTTAAACTACTGTTTTTCGCTTCTTTTTTTACTAACCTGCATTTTTTATTTGTTTTTCAAAAATCCTCCCATATTTTTTTGTATACTGTTGCTTGAATATAATTCATTGTAACAGACATCCATGTGGTTATTATCAGATTTGTTCTAGTCTTTAAATTTAATCGATAGACATTTAAGTCCAAGGACATAATCCGAAACTAATTTTGACAAATTCTATTCAAGACTGCAGACTGGCTAATTACAGTTTCTGAACCATTAACACGTTCATTATCAATTATTTATAGTTTGTTTCAAAATAGGTAATTAATTGATTGTGCAGTATCTGTAGAAACACAGGTAGATATTCATTGTTAAACTAAGACAATAGCCAAATGAATTGGATTTTTTTTTTATATATATTAAGGTAATTTACATTTACAGTAATGAAATGGTAACAAAAGAAGACAAAAATAGTCTTCATGTAGTTAAAGATTGTATTATATCTAGTTTGAAGAGTTTAGAGACATTAAAAGATAATTCTTATAACACAAATGAAGTAATTTACTTATACTTATACTAAATATAACTAAGTAATGGTCCTTTGGAGGACAGTTGTAGGAGTAGTACAGGCCACGATATGTTGTCGAATGCCCCAGAAATCGGTAAGTTTTTTAAGCGCCATCAACGTGGATGTGTCCTTACGAAAACCGTATTGGTAAATACTAAAGAAGTGTTCTTTAGGAGTTTATTTGAATATCTTTGCTAGGATTAGTCTTTCCGTGATTTTGCCCAGTTCTGATAAGAAAGTGATGGTTTTAAGTGCCTTAGGATCGTAGGATCCTTATCGAGGCTTTTTAAGATAGTTATTAACCTGCCACGCTTCCAGTTAGTTGGGAATTATTCTAGCCTAAACGAAGATACGGATAGTCCAGGACTATGTTTTTGCTATAGACCCCATCTTCATCTGGGCCTTTGTGAGGGGATATGTTCATAATCGCATTATCAAGCATGTCTTCTGTTATCTCCACTACGTTATTGTTTCCAATTGGATTGAGCTCTAGTCTCGATGTTCATTATTGTTCATTTGTGGATCATCATCGGGCATATGCCGGTCAATGATTTCGATAATGGTTTCTTCGTGGGTTCGTGTGGACGAGGAGATGGTCCTCTTAAGACACTATGTCTAATGTTATCTATCTTGATTTTGTTATCCTAGCATATAAATTGGGATTATTGATTAATATTAATAGGTATTAATAGTTACCATATATTGTTTTTATATTTCAGCCTGGAAAAAAACATGAAGAGCTAGACAAGGTGGTCAAGCAACTTAACAAAGTTCAATATAAAAACCAGTGTTGCAGAATTCTTGAATCAATCGATCCTACAAATTTTTTACCGTTAAATTCTGGATATTACACGTATCACGGTTCCTTGACAACCCCGCCTTGTTCGGAATGTGTAGTATGGATTGTTTTTAAAGAACCCGTTGAAGTTTCAATCGAACAGGTAATTTTAATATTTTTTTTAATAATTAATTATATTGCCATTCAAAAATGTTCGTACTTAGGAAATGTTATTGGAGATTTTTTTACATTTTTAATACTTTTTATTACTTTTTAATACTTTTTAATACTTTTTAATACTTTTTAATACTTTTTAATACTTTTTAATACTTTTTAATACTTTTTAATACTTTTTAATACTTTTTAATACTTTTTAATACTTTTTAATACTTTTTAATACTTTTTAATACTTTTTAATACTTTTTAATACTTTTTAATACTTTTTAATACTTTTTAATACTTTTTAATACTTTTTAATACTTTTTAATACTTTTTAATACTTTTTAATACTTTTTAATACTTTTTAATACTTTTTAATACTTTTTAATACTTTTTAATACTTTTTAATACTTTTTAATACTTTTTAATACTTTTTAATACTTTTTAATACTTTTTAATACTTTTTAATACTTTTTAATACTTTTTAATACTTTTTAATACTTTTTAATACTTTTTAATACTTTTTAATACTTTTTAATACTTTTTAATACTTTTTAATACTTTTTAATACTTTTTAATACTTTTTAATACTTTTTAATACTTTTTAATACTTTTTAATACTTTTTAATACTTTTTAATACTTTTTAATACTTTTTAATACTTTTTAATACTTTTTAATACTTTTTAATACTTTTTAATACTTTTTAATACTTTTTAATACTTTTTAATACTTTTTAATACTTTTTAATACTTTTTAATACTTTTTAATACTTTTTAATACTTTTTAATACTTTTTAATACTTTTTAATACTTTTTAATTCTTTTTAATACTTTTTAATACTTTTTAATACTTTTTAATACTTTTTAATACTTTTTAATACTTTTTAATACTTTTTAATACTTTTTAATACTTTTTAATACTTTTTAATACTTTTTAATACTTTTTAATACTTTTTAATACTTTTTAATACTTTTTAATACTTTTTAATACTTTTTAATACTTTTTAATACTTTTAATACTTTTTAATACTTTTTAATACTTTTTAATACTTTTTTCCCTGATATTGATATTTTAGTTAATAAATAATTATTTTACCTCATCAACTGGGTCACAGTGTAAGGCGAGAGATCATCCCACTCATTTTCATCCTACGTAATCAATAAAAAATTGTGGAAACAACAAAATTAAAACAAAATACCTGCTTTACAGTTAAAATTGGTTATTTAAATATTAAATATTTTTTTATTGCATCCAAAAAAAATTATCTTAATTTATTATTAATTTGTCAAAATAGGTATCCCAACATCCTTAGCTTATTAAAATGGCACTGCTATCTTCTAAGCGCCCTCTTTGTTTTTCTTTCTCAATTGCAATCACCTATTTATGTAATACTTTTACAGAAACCATTTACAGTAATGAATATAATGTTGTAATTGAGTAAATAAAGGTTATAACTTCAACTAAATTGAGAATTCAAAATTTATCCATTATCAACAAATTTTTACATACTAAGTAAAGTGAGTAAAATAATTTTTACTCAATAAAATATCTGTAATGACTGAAAATGGTGGCACAATTTTTTCAGCGCCCTCTACTGACGAGCGTTGTAAATAGAAAGTTGGGTAGTGTTGCTTACAGTTTTCTACCATAAACATTAGTATATTTCACTGTAATATTACATGAGGGAACCGCTTACACCTTAATACAAATAGTTCAAAATATCAAATTAGTCAATTTTTCAATTATACGGAGGATATGTATTAATGTTTATTTATCCTTGAAACGTAACAGAAAGGACATCATATTTAAAATCATTGTTCTTCGCCGTTAAAAGAAATAAAGAAGAAAACATTAATTTAAAATTTTGCGTATTTGAACATATTGTCAACTTCATGCACTACCACAAAATTTTTCGTCATAAAGTATGGAGTGTAGGAGGAATGGAGGACAATCTCATATACGGTTGTTTATCTCAAGAAGTGTCCCCCAAATATATATAGAATTAAGATGGCGCTCGTGTACTAGAAGGAAAAAATCCAATGTTGTATATTTATATAGATACCTCACCCATATGTAAATCAGACCTCAATCAGTCGATGAAAAGCACTATTGTCGTCTATTATCAAAATTTTTCTACGATGATAATATCAGTCCTAAAAAGATTTGTGGTAAATTGATCTACCTTCAATAGGAAACATCGAACAATACCTACATACATTTATTTAATAAGTAGTAATCATTATTTTTAAAAAAATAAGTGTTTCTAGAGTTCCAAAGAGAAAACCAAAATTGTCACAATCATTGTTATTGTTAAAAGGGTTTGATAATTTAAGGCAATGATAAATTCTTATTATCCCAAATTATAGTGGGTGAGAAGTAACTTCTGAGTAACAAAATTTAGTTAAAAAGTTAGAAGAGAGAAAATTAAATTATTGATTTATATAGAGACTTAATACTAAGTGGATAAGAGAAAAAAAAATGTATAGAAAAGGAATAGTCCCATCTAGACGCCTTATAACAATCAGCTATTGATGGACAACTCAAATTCTGTCACCAGGATAACACAATACTTTTATTTTATTTTAATAATTACATTGTTTTTCTTAATAAGTCACTAAAACTGGTGAATAACTGCAATATTATACGAGTATAACAAGAGAATCAAATAAAATAAACCTTAATTTAATTTACAATTTACAATTATTTGGATTTGTGTTAAAATATAGTACCCTGTATTTAATCCATTAAATTTCTCTGCTAGTTAATTCACTTTTTTCCTTTTGTTTCAGCTAGAAGCTTTCAGAAACTTGAAATCCCTTTGCAAAGAAGAAAAATGTTACGATGAATACGATGGCTTTGTTAAAAGAAACTTCAGACCCACTTTACCTGTTGGCCAACGAGAAGTAAAAGAATGTCGACAATAAAAAGTTCACATCATGACGATATTTACACAAAATGGTGTATTTGAACGCAGCATTTTGTAGTGTACCTATTCTGAATTAGGCATGTAGATCTGTCACAGAAACGGGAATACGAAATAAGGATAATCAAAGACAATGTTATCCAAAAATTTTTCGAGAAAAATTATACTTCTGCTATATAAATACATTGCTTATTAATCAAAATTGATTTTACAGGAGTGTAAATTAAATATTCACATCTTTTAATATGCGGAATATGCTTAATCAGCTGTGCTATGAATCCAATGAAACAGGCAGGGTCTTCGAGACCCAGGTTGTACTTCAGGACAATTCTCCAGATCGGGACCCACGACAATTTTATAAAAAATTAAAAAAAAGGTCTCCAAGCAGAAATTTCTCCTTCTCTATTTGAATTTCTCTAAAATAAGGTCTTCAAGCAAAAATTTCTCCTCATCTACTTGAAATTCTCTAAAAAAAAGATCTTCAAGTAAAAATTTCTTCTCCTGTACTTTAAATTTCTCTAAAAAAAAAGTCTTCAACCAAGAATTTCCCCCTCTTGTGTCGAACTTCTGAAAGTAATTAGTCCCGGCTGCCCCCTTTCTGGTCGGTCCTGGATACAGGGTTTATCATTATCAATTACCCACTTTTTATCATCGTTATTGCATAAACAAAAAAATATTTTTGATAAAAATTGTTTGGTTATGACTGAATATAATGAAGTTGGTACAAGCTCTTCTTTTTTATCAAAACGATGGCAATTTGGAATTAAAAAAAAAATGTAAAAATACCTTCAATCAGAAAAGTATTCAAAGCAGCAAGGCCTTGCTTAAACAACGGGGTTGGGAGGGTGTCAAAATACACAGGTCGAGGTGGGAAAGACACAGTCTTAATTAAATCTAATCTAATCTACACAAAAATAAATAGTTTCAATTTTTGAAGTTATATAAAGAAAATTTTAAAATTCTGCGAAATCTGTCCCCCACTCACACCTACTATAAATCTATTTTTGTATGAGTCGTCAAAGATTAAAAATTAATTAAAAATCTGTTGTACCCAAAGAATTTTGTACTTTTTATATTGATTTTGGGTGTTGGCAGAATTTGTTTTTGAAGACAACTTTCTTATAGACCTTAAGTTTGCAGCTCTACAGGGTGAGCGGTTAGAAGGAGTCAAAGGTAAGGAGTGCAGAATATTTTCATATATTTTCACCACTTTTAAGTAATTTATGTTTTTTTTTATGAAACTTATAAAAATTATTTAGTATGAAATGAAAAATAGTCAGTAGTCATATTCCAACTATGGTAATGCATGAAAAATTCATCATATTTCAGTAACTGATGTTCCAAATTTTTTGAATACGTTGTATGATTTATTTTACAATGCGTACGAGGGTGGATCAAAAAATACTCGTGTTAGAAAGGAAGAGGCAAGTTTTTCAAAAAAAAATATTTCTATTTTTCAACGTAATCACCTTTTAGTTTCTGCCATTTATTTAACCCCTTAAAAAAATATGATTTCTCGAAGTCCGCAAAATACGCTTCAGTCTCAACGATAACCTCCTCGTTAGATCTAAAGTTTTTCTCTCGAGCCACGTTTTTATGTTGGGGAATAGGAAAAAGTCGCATGGAGCCAAGTCGGGCGAGTACGGTGGATGCGGCAGCAATTCGTACTGCATTTCTTGCAATTCTCGATGAATGTGCTGGTGCGTTATCGTGGTGAAACATGACTTTTTTCTTAGTTAAATGAAGCCGTGTCTCCTTCAATTTTGCATCGAATCCGTCCAGTAATTCACTATGTGATCGTATTTGCTTTCTGCAAAAAGTCGATGAGGATTATTCCCTTGGAATCCCAAAAAATCGTGGCCATGATCTTTCCGGCCGATGGGACCGTCTCATAGTGGGCCAGATTCACCTTAAAATGTTGAAAAACTATTATAGGCAATTTTAAGTTTATTTATTCTCGCTAATATTTCCATTTAAGCCTAAGCAATCTATTTTGATAGATATTTTTCGTGCGAACCTTCGAACTTGACAGTTTGTGTGAGGAAGGAAACATTTTTATTAAGTATTTTAGGTAAACAGAAGATCACAAAAATCGTAACTTACAGAACTGAAGTAAAAAGGGCCTGATGAGACTTAAAAAACTCGGACTAGTGTCATCGATTACCATTTGCGTTTAAAGGGTTGTTTTCAGTAGTTCGTGAACAAATACTCACTTTTAATCCCTTTCCACAGGTACTAAATAATGAACATTTTGTCAAATGAACAATATAATGAATTTTAATACATTCATGAAAATTACAAAACTTTATTTAACTTTATGACACTTTGAGAAAAAAAACTAATCTGAATCACTCTCAGATGAAGAATCTAAAAGCGCATTTGGCGCTTGCAATCACCTGAAGGGTCACGTAAAATCTATATATTAAGTTTTCATCCAATCCAGTAATTTTTCAGGATAACACATAGTTTCGGAAAAAAGTCCTGGCACAATTACCATCATTCGAACTACCAGCTCCTTGCTTTGGTTGGTCCACTATAATCCCCAGTTGCTTTCTATATTCAGATTGAACATGTTGTTTTTGATTTTTTAGAACAGATTTTTCGTCATCACCACGAGCCTGCCATTTTTTTATTGGTAGTCGGTAGCAAACTTTTAGAAGGAATTCAAATGATCTAAAAATAAGAAAATAATATGATCATTAAAAAAAAAACAGGAAACTATTTTTTTTAAAAAACAGTTTGTGTTGATACCTTTTTTTACTATAAGAGGTTTAATCAAAAAACAACTTTATTACAATAAAAATCAGGACAAATAATTAGTGGCTCAAAGCCTCTAAAACTAACATTTTTGTTAGCAATACATAAAATTAAAACATCCACAAGTTTCATAAAATTGATATCCAGATAAGATAGGTAAATTAACAAACCTGATCCAAGCGTGCAGTGATGTTATGCCATATTGTAAGTAGTCTTCTATTATAGGTTTTTGTAGAAGTTTTTTCAAGTTATTCATCTCTACAGGGGAGGCTCCACGCAAGTAACATTTTTGTGAGGATTGTAGAGAATTTATCATTTTCATGTCTATCATTGTCATATACAGATCGTGTTTTATCAGTAACATTTGTAAAGAGTTTGTTGTAAATTTAGTTTCAGATAATGTTTGAATTTGATCCTTAACTAATTGAGTTTCCCGTTTTGAAATGTCTACAGTTCCTTTTAGGAACTGCATTTTTAAAAGACGACATAGTTTTGTTGGTGAAGAAGTTGGATAACTCCAAATAATAACTTTTTGTTTCGTGTTGTTATCCATATAAAGCTGAATTGGAACTATACAGGTTAGCAGTAAGTTAGAGTCGCAATAGCTATCATCCGCAAAAAATTGTTCGTATTGTGCTTGACCAGAACTTCCATCCATTCCCTATTTAGAAATTAATACAAGCCTTGGGTTTTTCATCTTAAAATTTTCCAATTCTAAAGTTGATAGGAGCCTGCATGTAGTGTGGTCCAACAGCGACTGTAGGTTAACTGTAACTGAATGCTCTGAGGATAAAATATTTTTGGGATAACATCGATTTTTTGCTTCCCTTATGTTATTGTAAGGCGGATAAATATCCGTTTTGTTTTCAATTGCGGACTCACGAATATTCTGATATTGTCTTTTGGATAACTTTGCATCTATAACCATTGCCAAAGCACTGTCACTGCTAAGAGGATTTACTTTAGTCGCATTGGGTGTTTCTTCTTCGATATTTTGTAAATTTTTTGCTGCTTGTAATTTTCCAGCCGATCTTAAACCCATTTTAGAGGCAAATAAAAGCTCATTCGTATCAAACGTTCTTAATTGTTTGGTTCTTTTATATTTTGCGGAATAACCCAAATTTTCAAAGTTTTCTTTGGGCCTTCCTCCTTTATGTAAAGCACAGGGTAAAACGACGTAATTTTCCAGCCAGAGTCTATTAGTTTCACAAAATTTTTGTTTTATTCGGCAAGCTTTAGCCCACCTTCTCTTAAACTGAATACTAAAATTTCTTGCTATATGTTTTATATTTTGTTTATTTTGTTCTTGACAGTGTTGACAACTTAAGGTCAATAATGTTTCATAAATCTTTTTCATCTCTTTTCCCTTTTCAAAAATTTCTCGTACCCGCATTTGATGATTTCTTGGCTCTAGAAGTACACATAGAAAAGGCTTAATAGATAAAATTTGCATATGCTTTAGTTTTCAAGATAATGTGTTTTATTTCTTTCTGTAAACATGCAAAAAATCAGTAAAATTAACGGAGTACTTTGTTCTGTAAGTACCAAAGTCTTTCGCAACACTTTTCGTAGCCCGTAAAAGTGTACTGTACTAGTAATACTTATATGGATTTTACCAAGAAGGTAGCAAAAAGTAGCAGCTAATTTGAAGTTTGGTACAAAGTAGTATACTAAAAGATAAAAGGTATATATAGTAAATAGTGTAACTTTATGTAACTCATTAGGATATCCTTACCAAAACTTGAAAAATAATATTTAAATGTAATGAAAAAACCTTTTTTCTAATATTGCCAATATTTCCACGTCTTCATACATAAACAAAAACTAAGGGTTTGCTAAAAAAATATAAACTTACCTGCATAATTGTCACCCATCTTAAAACTTTCAAAATCAAGCACTGCTTTAAATATTGAGCGAAACTTTAAGACACTCTTAGAAAAAAAAAACTAAAGATAACTCAACAAAAAACATGTCAAAGTTTGCGGTATACTAGCGTGTATCCAAGACAACCGATGACAGTGATTCTACTGTATTAAAATGCTCCAGAGCCTACTTAGTTGTGATCTATAAAAATTTATTGATATTTCAGTAGTTTGTTATTTTTGAATTTTTCAACATTTTAGGGGGAATTCTGACCCACTGTGGTCTTTGCCTTCTTCGGAGCAGATTCAACCAGAAAAATCCATTGTTTCGACTGTCGTTTGGTCTCTGACGTATAATATTGTATCCAGGTTTCATCAACGGTGACGATTCGACGCAAAAACTCCTGCGAATTTCGATTAAAGAGCTCCAATCACTGCTTCGACATTGACAGCCGTATCTGCTTGTTGTCCACCGTAAGCAATCGCGGCAATATTAATTGCCGTTCCGTATGATACGCTTACGGCCTCTGCTACTTCTCGCACTTTCGTTCGGCGATCTGCGACAATTATGTCTTGGACCTTTTTAACGATTTCCTCGGTAACAACGTCTTCCGGGCGACCTGATCGCTCCTCATCAAAAACAGATGTACGACCATGTTTAAATTCGTTGAACCAATATTTTACGGTTGTCATAGATGGTGAAGGGTTCCCATAGACAGCATCCAACTTTGTTTTTATTTCATCACGTGTTTTTCTATCTAAAAATAAAAAGCGAATTACGAATTGACATTTTTCTTCTCCCATTTTATCGATTAATGCGAAACACGTATGGTACAAGGTACAAGTGGTTGCCAAATGAAAACCAACCTATGAATCAGTTTGAAATTTAGTATGGTGTCGTGTGACAGATGACAGTACACGACAGTAATGCCAACTTCCCTCAGCAACGCCACCTGCCTTCAAACACGGGTACTTATTGATCCACCCTCGTAAGTAAGCATAAATAAACTATATATAAATATAAAATAAAACGAAGTCGTGTTTTTTGTACCAGTTTCGTTTTTGAAAGAAAATACAAAATATAAAAAATATATAATTTATTTAATCTCAACGACACCTCATTACTTTAATAATATTTTTAAAATGTTTTGGTACACTTACCACATTTCTTAAGCTTGTGGCACGTCATACTCTTCCCCAAAAGGCACACTGAAAAACTTTTTTTGTTTTTAAGGATTTTTAATTATATCAAATAAATAGCTTAGTTTCATGAAGATATATTTGAAAAAATTAATTTTGTCCTCCTTACGTTTGAATCCTTTTAACAGCTCAGCCTTTAGAGCTGCCTGCTTATAAGAAAATTTCCTTTAAAGACCTGAAAAATAATACAAAAACTACTCAAAACCAATGTAAAAACGCAGGGTCCTTTGTAGTTACTATTCACCATCTGTAGCTACTAGAAATATTTAAAATATTTTACAATTAAAAATTAAAAAAGGTAGTTTACAAAGTTTTTTAAACAGCTTTTTTCCAATTGAAATTTCAGGACAAACAATTAAAAAGGAAAAAAAATGTAAAAGTGTAAAAGTACCTATCTAAATTATTTTTCTAAACAATTATTCATAGTGTAACGATATTCTAATTTATTTATTTAAAACACATTATTTACAATTTATTTATGACGTACTATTTAATTTATATAATACTTAGACACTAACTAACAATTCTAATTTATTTATTACACTTTAACTTTTCATTACAATACTCTATACTAAACTGTCTATAATCAATTGACTGCCGTCTTCAAACTCACGATATTTATATCAAGCCAACTCTGTAACCAGAATACTCTAGACGGTCCCGAAAATTTTATCTTTGACTCAACGGCACTCTCCGCCCGTTCTAGCCGTTTCTAGTGCGTCAGCGGCATTCCTGAACGTTTCGTCGCCTCGAGCATGAGTCGGGTGCTAGCTGAAGGTCGCGCTTGCTTTAGACACAGGGTCGGCTTAGGAATTTCATGACAATAGTAACAAGAATAGATTTTACTTGCTATACAATTAAATTACAGTTTTCTCCGTGTATAGTTTCTCTTAGAAAATGTTTCTCAAACTTTTCTAAAGCGCAACCCCGTTTTATTTTTTAATTGTTGACGAAACCCTATTTCCTCCTATTCGTCATGCTTAATTTACAAGTAACTGATGGTTTCACCTCGATGACCTCGATCTACAATTAAAATATTTCCCTTTATTTATAAAACGCCCTGTATATACTAAGTTAAAATGTTTATTATTAAAAAAGATACCTAAATGTTCCTTACAAAGTTTTTCATTGTTTAACCTTAATTTTACATGTGTATTATTAGAATAAAAGTTACTAATATTATATTATGATTTAGTAAGGTGATTGTAGCAATTATGTTGGGATATTTTGTTCCTTGTATTTAATAAACGACTTGAGATATTTTTTTTTCTTTCTTTACCTGGATAGCTAAAGCACCTCTATATCTAAAACGTGTCGAGAATGAGTTTTCCTTACAAAATATCGTTTTATAAAACAATTGCTATTGTCTAATTGGTGAAATGATTTTTCTAATTAGAAATTCATCAGGACTATCCTGGACCAATATAGATATAATTCAGACTTGACAGATAAATTCCATAAATTAAACACTGACTAACAGTACAATAAATAAATAAATAAAGTCTCGGAGAATCTCCATTTACAAGAAGATTGGTCAATACCTCTTGCAGGATAAATTCCATCAAGCCTGCTAGATAAGAATTTAAAAAACTTGCGTTGAACTTTTTCCAATTAATTTATATGCACTTGATAATGCGGATCCCAAACAATCAATGCGTATTCAAGTTTTGATCTTATGAGCACAGTAATAGCGTTTTTAGAGCAATTTCATTATTGCAAACTAAAATCAAATGAGACTCCAACATCTCGCATCTGCGTAACCCTTGATAAAGATATGTTATTTATTTGATAATCGTGCAAAACGAGATAGAGTTTGCGACCATGTGTACAAATTTTACATTTATCCAAATTTAGGAAGAGACTGTTACTTGTACAACAATTAGAGATTGTAGTGCCTCGATTGCACTACATACATTCGTACCTTAGAACTTCACACTTGTGTTGTCAACTATCGGATAACTTTCATTAAGTGGCAGCCTTGATGAAAGTTAAATTCACTTCCGTTACCGCGGATGTATTGATTATCATTATGACTTTTTATATTTTTAATATACATGACATGTCATCGTTCTTTATCTACAATAAATAATTTTACATTTATCTACAAACAATTTATGATGGGATCTACACAATTAAAAGTTCCCATAGAGATTTTATTCATTTCTTCTTGTAGAAATAAACAGTGTAATTGAGAAGTCACATTTGAGTAAATTTTCAAATCATCAGCAAATAATAAATGTTTACA